CTATGAATATCAACAAACGTTGTTGCTCGCATACACATACGCACACACACTTGACTTTCGAATTGGCCTGGGATGAATTCTGAGTCTGGCAACTCTAATCGACGGCCATTGCTTTGCAACTTGTTGCTTGCTGTCGTGTATCTGTGTGTTTTGATAGTTTTTTATTGTTTTATTTTTGGTTTGCAATTTTACGGAAGTGCCGAAAGACAAAGATTCACTTATCAGCAATTCTTTTAAACCTTGTAACTAAAGTAAACCCAATTAGTATTTATACTTCGTGCAAATGCATACACACATCTACATATATCTCAACCTATTTGTATCGGAGCCGATTGAGTGCAACTTCTTGAATGTGTTTAGAACCGTTTAGAACCGGATTCGGGTTGGTATTGATGTGTGACAGCTTTGTCTCTTACTACCAGCGCTTTTCATTCTATCCCGAAGAATACTCATGGCTGTGTGTGTGTCTGCGTGTGCGTATATTGGATGATCGTAAAGTTCTCTGCATGTTGCTGTTGTCATTTTTTGTCTAACTTAATTTACGCTATTACCATGTTAATTTTCTTCTCAACACGTCCACAGCGGTGGAGCTTGAATAATCAAATACAAATCAATTAAAAGACCAAAAAAAAAAAGCAAAAGAAAATAAAGCGGGTATTTAAAAAACTCTTAATTCTGTTGTTTGCGGCCACAGCTGTTGTTGTTAGTGTTGTTAAACGTCAATTCAGTAGAAGCAGTACAATCCGGCAGCGGCAGATAAGTCAGAGCGTATTATGGATAACGAAGCGTTAGAAGCAGCAACAAAAAACACGACAGCAGCACCGGTAACAGCGGCAGCGGCGGCGGCGGTGTCATCAGCGTCAGCGATAGAGACGACAGCGCCTTCCAAAAGCGAGACGGCTACAACAACAACAAATAACAACAACACCATTAAAGTCACAACCGCCTCTAACGGTATCAAAGAGAATAACAGTAGCTTTAGTACGACAGCAACAACTCCAGCAGCAATAACAACAGCCCCGATCATTGTGACCAGCGGAATCGTTGCTACTCCCGTCAAAAGCGAGGTAAGTAATCAATGTTGTTTGATAAGTGTCTGTTATGTACATAATATATGTGCACAATTCGTTGTCCAACAATTGCCACTTTTAGTTAATAATTGCATATTTAAATATTTGAAAGAAATCAGAGTTCCAGCCTCCGAATGTCAGTTAACAAAATAGCAGAACAAATTTTGGAAAAATTATAAATTTATAATATTTATTATATTAACAAATTCTATACAATTGATTATTAGTAATATTGCAACACAACAAATTCCCAATGTCCCGACCCGAATAGAGCATGTTTAATGATTGACGTCAATTATAGAACGATCTATGTGTTAGTCTCATCGTGCCTCCATAT